TTTTATTTTATTTTATTTTATTTTATTTTATTTTATTTTATTTTATTTTATTTTATTTTATTTTATTTTATTTTATTTTATTATAAATAAAATACATGCCGTACAATACTGTAACATCAGATTTTAATCAGATTGACTCTACCCGAGGAGAGTAAAATATTATGTAGTATGCAACGCACGAACTCTCTTAGTGTATCTGCATTTATTTTTGACAAAGGCATCCTATTTTATCGTGATAATAGTGTAATTCTGTAATTCAAATCACAATGAAACGGTTTGGATTACATTAATCGTATCCCTCTCTTGGTCACCTGTCCCATTGTCTCGGCAGCGCGTTTAGAGCTCCTATAGAATATATTATATCACTATTCGTCATGTGATCCATCGCAGTGGCTGTACGACTAGTCCTGTAATGCCACTTTTTGACCCACTCCATTTGTCCTGTGGCTATACTTTCTGAAACTGAGCACTTTGCCATTAATTAGACTGTATACAATGGATTTCTCGAACGCAGACCTCGAACTGGTACAGGTGGCAATACTATCTGGGATTTATTCTTGAATACACATTTCCTTTAAACCACGCCCTCTAGTGAGGAAAAACATTTCCCGTCATTGAATATCGCTAATTTTAAAGAGAAAAGTAAAATGTTCCCTCCACAAACGCCATTAATTCATCAATTCGCGAATATGAAATGGTTTACAGTACGTGTATCTCGTTATTTGTTTATTTATGATAATTCGAATAATGTCTGCCTAGTTTCCCCTTACCAAGTACCCAGGAGTATTTCTAGAAACATCTAACTGTCATCGATATACAGATAGAATAGAATAATGCTTTATTAATACCATAAAGAGAAAGTTAACATTTCTTTTTAGGTTTTCACATTAATAATAAAAGTACATGAAATTTAAAAAAAATGATTTAAAAAGAACTCAAAATTGATGAACGACAAAAATACTACAGGCAATTATTAATAATATAAGAAATATTATAATACTGTGATATGTAATTATATCTGTATAAAATATAAAAGAACATGACAAAATAAAAGAATTAGTCTTGTTTAGATTTAACTAAATATTTGCAAAGAGTGATAAGATGGTCTGTATTTGGTGACTTTAGTTTAAATTGTTCTTTTTTTGTTTAAGTTTTGGTAATCACTGTTAATTTCTTTAAGGATATTATATATGTCATCTCTGTGTTCTGTGTACCAGTTTACATTCTAGTAAATGATGTAATTCATCCTCTATTTCTTTACAGTGGATGCATAATCTGTCTTTTATCAGTGCTTTTGGTTTTGTGTACCTTCCTGTTTCTATAGCTAGTTTGTGACTACTTGTTCTAAATCATGCTAGCATGTTGATTTAATGTCTGTTATCTATGTGCTTTTATGTAATGTTCCATGTCTAGTGTGGTTTTGTATGTACTGTAAGTGCGCAGTTTTGCATCATCTCTTTTATTGTCATTGTTCCATGCGTTAGTGTAATATTCTCTGATTGAAATTATCAGTTCTTGTATTGTTATATTATCTATATTACATTTAGTGTACATTTCTAAGTTGTCTTCTAATGACTTCAACCATGACCCCGTACAATAAGTCCGATGGTGGTGGTCGTCGCGCAACGCGTAGTCGAATTTCATGTAAACAATGTATTTTCTCCTAACTATGAGTTCATATCGAACAGGACGTGGCGCGACGACCACCGCCTCTGTGAAATAAAATAATTGTGTTCACACAATTACGTTTATATCGTACGTGTACTGTAATTCCTTGACAGGCTTCGATAGACGCACCGTTAATATTTTCTCATAATAGACTATGATTTTTTCTCTCTCAATTTATTCTGTAGTTTTCATTGTTTTTACTATCGATCACATTCATTAGGGTTAGCTTCGACAGTGGTGTTCTCATTGGATGAAATACGTCGTTTTCACAACGCCTTATATTTGAGAACGTTGTTAACATGTGCGACTGCAATAAATCAAACATCAGCGTAGGGTATTTCTGGCATTAACCTTTTCACCTCGATTTCCATCTTCACAAAATTATAATGTGAACTTTCGTTCAAAACATTGGGACGAAAATAGCCCAATTTGTTGAGTAAAAACTGAAAATTGACTAAAATTTTGTCTGTTGGTACCAAAATGTTGGTTCTTTTCCAAAACCATTGAACAATATAAAAAATAAAAGTGCAGAAATAATTGGGCGAGAAAGTCTAGTTGTGAAAGGGTTAATACATCACACTTGTTGTTGTTTTAAACATGGACCTTCTGTGAAGAACGAGTGTGTCCCTCGTCTAGAATTTTACCAATAAAACATCAACTTTATTAACCAGTCAGAATATCGAGGTCAATGGGGTCACAACGCACAGATGCATTAAAATACAGATAGCACCTGAATTCGAACCAAGTTGTCTAAACGAGTGTTGAATAATCGTGTTTTAAACCTTACAGATCAAATTATTAGCTTGAATAAATTTGATTAGAGCGATAATTATAATTCTGTATGATGATAACGAGTGGCACTCTTTTGACGAGCAACGTTCTACAAATTATAGCCCCTCTAAAAACAAAATATGGCCGGCAAAATGGCTTGTTGCAGGTTTACTATGTTGACAAGACCGGTGAAACTGTCCCGGCTTTGGAGACAGGTTGGGTCGGCTATTTCTCGTGATTGGGTGGTGAAGAGAAGATATTCTACAGGTAAATATTGTGAACGTAAGCCTGCAGACACCGATCTCCCTTGGCACGGGGTGGATCCATATGATAAACGTGAACGACGTACGTGTGTCACTGGCTCACGTCGGGTCGGTGTGGCACACAGGCGCTCGGCACGTTTTGGGGGGGTAATAAGTGGAATTAACGCGGGGGAGGGGTAATTAGTCAGTACATCCTCCCTATCTTCAGCTCCAGTAATAATAACATAAGTTTATTGTCCACATTCTCCCCTTACTGAAGGTATGGGTGAAACAAACAAATACAAATTACATAACGAAGCATTCTCTAAGTTTGTGTGTGTCATTTCAAGAACGTACCGAGCGTCCATGGGTCTCACGGATATAATGACCCAGGTAATTTTTAGATGATTATTCATATTCATGTCTTTTTTTTTTTCTTCAGTAATTATGTCTATTTTTAATCCACCAAATAAACAGTGGAACATAAAATATTCTCAATATTATTTTCTGATAATTTTTGATACAGTTTTTATATACTGTAAAACATGTCTTTTTTGCAAGCATGTTTTTTTAGAGAAAACTGATTCGCTAATTCAAGATGTCGCTAATGACTTTATTATAAATTCAAAAATGGTCACCAAACAACGTCTTTTTTCTCCACACACACGCGTTGTAAACAACACACACAAAAAAAGTACTGACATGATAGATACACAATATTAAAAAGTAAATTTACACAAAAAAATAAACGTATTGTGAAAACAGGAAATCAACTATAACAAGAGCGATTTACTAAAATTGCATGTCGCTTTTTCAACATGTTTTACAGTAGTTAGTTTAGTTAATAAAAGTTTATTTAATGTTATATAATTTATTCCTTGCTTTTGTAGATAGTTAGAGTAAGCTTAATAAAGAGATGAATACTTTTATAGAAATTTATAAAATAGTTATGAAACATTACACCATTTACATGCAGGCAGTCATTGCAGGTTTCCTTCAATCATTGGTCGTTTTACTACCATGCACATCAAAGATATTAAATACTGGTGTATGAATCCACAAAGATATTGTGATTGAAGGGTAGTGGTCATCACACTGGGTCCTGTTCAATATGGGACTCATATTGGCATATACAACGCGTTTAAATACATTGTTTACATGAAATTTGAACATGCACTGCACGATGATCACTGCCCTTTAATAATCAACTTGTTTTCAACCATTATCTGAAATTTTTAAAACAGTTATAAATATTCATGCCTTTATGAAACTCACTGTACATAGTGTGATAAAATGAATTTTATAGTCACATGTGTTAATTTCTTCTGCAGGTGGATCGACACAAGCTATGGGAGCTCTTGATGGCATCCGCGTACTGGACTTAACAAGGTGATGTACTGGGACTTAATTATTAGCTGGATTTTATTCCACTGATGGTTAGCTAAATGCGCTAATTAAAATTTCACAAGAGACAAATTTTTGTGAATCAGTGACTTTCTCGAAATTTTTTCTCGCGCATCAAGTAAATTCCCAGCAGCGAAAATTAAGCAGTTTATATTATGCTAAGTTAAAAATAGAATGCATTTTTTGTCTTCACAAACTAGTAAATTTAAAACCCAGCGACTCCCTACAACATTGAATTTCTTCAAATTAAGCCAAGTGAATATTTCTCGAAACAAAAGACAGTAATTTAATTCAAATAAAATACCTCTACACTGTTGTGACAAATAAACATTCTTGTTTAGTACCATATTCAATATATCTTAGTCGTGAAATCATGATCATTAATAACAATATAATCAAATCTACCGGTATTATTGTACGCAACTATTTAATTTTCAAATACATTCCACTAACCATTTCAGGGTATTGGCTGGTCCTTTTGCTACTATGATACTTGGTGATCTCGGAGCTGAAATTATTAAAATTGAAAAACCAGGTAAAACATTTTAATTAGTTATAAAATTTACATGGTTGAATAAATTCTGGTCTTGACATGATTGCTTTTAACCATTTTTGTGGCCTTGATAACTCTGATTGAAACAATGGACATAATATTCAATACATATATATACAATACAAGTTTAATTTTGGTCTCAGATTTCGAAAAAAAGTAATGTAATCTAAAGTTCTAAGATTGATCCCCGGAGTAAATTTCGATATGTTTTTATTCATAATAGTTTCAGTGGCATGAAGAATTAATTTGTTGTTACTTTTCTCATTTTAATTTTTAGCTGACCAAATCTCCACCAGTTAAACATAAATTGTAGTAATATATTCTTATATATTTTTGTTAACTTTTTTGTATACAACTTTTTGTATACCACTTCCAGCATATGAAAAACAATACTTGAGTATTTATATACAGAGACCTCTATTTATTGATTTACAGTAGCTGGTACTTATTTGTTAAGACACTGGTAATATTGGTTATCTACATAAATAATGAATGTTGAATACTATAATTGTTTTTAGGTGTTGGGGATGAAACCAGAACATGGGGTCCACCATTTGTTGACTCTCAAAGTTGTTATTTTCTCTCAATAAATAGAAATAAAAAGGTATGTGTTTTCTCTTTGTTTTATTAGTCACCATCTAACAGATTATATTCAAAGTTGTTACAAAGGCAACACTAATTTTTATGTTCTCAAATGTTAATTCAGCGAAACATACACATGGCCATGTGACTAACAATAGTATACAGAATGTGTTATAATGTCATAATGTCTGATTACATGATATCTAGTCGTAAAATGTCAAAATCTTATTGTATAGCTTCAATAGTTTGCATGACTCGTCACACAGATTCATATATTTATCACATCTGCAATGCCTAAATATCACATTTGTGCATTTTGAATTGTCACCATGGGCAAGTTCTCACCATAAAATTGGTGAAAATTACTTAGCCAATGAAGTGGTTAATATTTGTATTCTCACCATTGAATAGTGATAGCAAATCCCCCCTCTATATCAATGAGAATAATATCAAGTCTTGCCAAACCACAAGCAAGTGTTGGTTTTTTGCTCTAGTTTTTACTGATAGTGTGTACAATACAAACATAATGGAAAGGCAATAAGTGCAGTCCTGATTGGGATCAGTGAGCGACGGGGAAATGATATATATGTGACCCTTACGGAATGAATACATCACCTTTATTTGATTTAATTTAAGAGTCTAGCCGTAGATTTAAAAGACCCAAGAGGAAAACAAATTATTATTGAGGTTTGTTTCTGCTTATTTTTTCGTTTTACTGTTTGTTTTAAAAATGTGAATTATTGTGGATATTTTATGTCATTTCATCATAAACTGCTTAAAACTGTGTATTTCTGCTGACTAAAAGTGACTGGTCATTGATTAAACTTCTCTTCGCATGCATGCTTTCTAAGCAACCATGGCAATCAGGGAAACTGAAACTTGTCTATTGCTCCACAATTTTAGAATTTCAAAGTATTCACCATATTATTATTTTTTACGTTTTCTAGCTAGCCAAGAAATGTGATGTTTTAGTTGAAAATTATGTTCCGGGAAAGCTAACGTCAATGGGTTTAGGTTATGAAGATTTGCATAAAGTGGCCCCTCAACTTATATACTGTTCAATATCAGGTGAGAAAATGAGAAAATATCACCTTTGAAAAAATAATTTGTTTATGGTCCAGTTCAACAATCAAATGTTTTTCATTTATGGTATCATTGCTTGTCAACAATGTGCACTGTGGTAGTCAACATACAGTTTTTTGTTCTATTGACTTACCGCCTGCTAAAAGCCGAAATGAAGGAAAAAATGGTGTCAACTGCCGACGTGTATATATTTCCCAATGCTAATTTGACAATCCAAATTGGACAGTCAACTCTTTCTAACAGCATATGGTATCTAAATAAATATTGATAGCCCGTATTTCTATCTAGATAGATCTACTCATGGCCAGCATAACTCGTCAGAGTCTCAAAATTAGCTTCTATCACCCTATTGGTCAGAATGTTATTTTGAGATGAACATACTGTTCGAATGAACCTATTAGAAAGGTGTATTGACGTAAGAATTATTCATAGTACATGCATGCTTGTATTGTTACTTATACAGGTTATGGTTCAGATGGTCCCTACGCTGAGAGAGCAGGTTATGATGTCGTCGCTGCATCCATGGCAGGATTATTACATATCACAGGACCTCAGGTATTTTTATACTTTTTTGTTTTATATTATTATATGGTGTTATATTTCAATCTACCAGTATTTTGATATACAGTGTAGATTGTTCTTAATCCAGATATAAATAATGATAATGATCTTACATGGTGTTACAAGGTTGTATTATTACATGTCTTTTCTTCCACACATTTCTTTTGTGATCAGAAGCATTCATTTATGATTGCCGTTTATACTTTTTCCTGTGTAGAGTTAAATAACTTGAAAAATAATTTATGAATAATTTATTTTTGGAATCAACATACATGTATGTCTAAATTCAGGCCTGTCCACCTGTCCCAGACGGTGAGATTTCAGTTGGGACAAGTGAATGTACAAATTGCCTGTGGACAGGTGAATAAAAATATCAAGTTTTAGTAACTGACCAATGACGTAGTTCAAAGTTGCTAATATTCGGAAAATTGACTTGAATTGAATTGATTGAATTTTTAGACCTATGAAATGAATTAAAATTATATTTTAAATAATATATCTTAATTTATTATTAATTGAATTGCTAAGGACAGGTACATTGGACAGGCGACCTATTTTTTTAATTTTCAATTCCTTACAACTGTGATATGATAATGCTTTCAAATGCTTAATCCAAAAAAACAATATGTCAATTTCATATAACTGCATTCTGACAGTCATTACCAGCCCAAAAAGGATTGATATTCATTAATTTTTCATGCATTGTATGAAAATATATTTCGTAGTGTGACTTACACATTTAAGTTTGTTACAGTGTTATGCGTAAATTATACATTTCACTTATCATTTGTAGGATGGTGAACCTGCTCGCGTTGGTGTCGCTATGACTGACTTGTCAACTGGTTTATACTCACACGGTGCAATAATGGCTGCTTTATTACAAAGATATAAAACAGGGAAAGGACAAAAAATTGAGTGCAATTTACTTTCAACTCAGGTAAGTGTATTGTCATGGCAACAAAATTACATTTGTATAAGTGGAGCAAGAGGAATAAGCATGTATGCAAATGAGCAATAATTTATAATGATCATCGCAGATTCGTGAATTTATTTTTATTGCTAGAAATGTACGTCATTCACGAAGACAAAATTTCTACTTTGTGAAAAATTGTTCTCCCACAAAATTAAAGCTGTTGACAGTAGTTCCTTTATTTTGACTTAAAGTGCCTGTGCAAAGCCCACCCACACGTTAACTATTTTAGATCCGTGTTCTACTGAAGTGAGCAGTTATTGATTTTTTTTCC